AGTTTCTTGAAAACAATTAAACTTGTTGAATAATCAGAACTTCAGTCTTGAGATTTTTTTTCGAAAATTAGTAATATAGTAAATTAGTTGTTAGATTTCAATAAATGAGTTTCTTCATAGATTGTATGGTTCGTGGAAATTATCGTCTTTCTCGAAATTACTTTTATCAAAAATTCTCGAACAGAAAAATCGCTAATGGCAACGAACTTATTTATTATTGTTATTCGTAGTAACGCAACAGTTTCCCGGGATTTGCGAAAGCAAAAACGACTATCAGTGAACCAGATAAGCAATTATGAATACACATCATCATTACGATAATCTACAAACTTATTTCGAGAAAAAAAAACTAATTTCAATAACTAATTCCATTCTTTACATTTCTACCGGTGTGAATCGCGATTCTCGGAATCCGCGCACCTTCTGAACAAAAAACAAAATAGTAAACAACCGAGGGTCATCGGATTCGGTTTCCATGGAGATGGGAATAAATGAAATCCGAAGTGAAATTACATTACTCGGGAGGCGCACGTACGCCCAGTTTGCTCATCCAATTAACGCGCGCGCGGGTGGAAGCAAGTATAAACAAATAAACAATCGAGGCAAAGTGTAAATAAAACAATAAACAAATAGCGGCGCGATAAGTGATGCTAACCAGGCCATCTCGATTCACTTTTTGTATTCACCTTCGTGATTCTGGAGCAACAAGCGGGAGACAGTTGCGTAACGCAAACAAACAGTGGCTTATTTTTTCTTCTTTTCTGATGACAGGTAGAGAATATATGGAGTCAAAAGTACGGAAAAGAAGACGAATAAAAAAAAAATAAATCAAACAAGCAAACATAAGATAATTGGAACTGGCCAGTAAATCTTCATGCGTCTTAAAAATATTTTTGTTATTTCGTATGAATTCAGACAAGACCTCATTATATTGCATTTATAATGTGATTGCTGTAAGATTTCCACAACTGCCATCAAATCTAATTGAATTGCAATGTACATTTGTCTTATAAAGTAGATCTGTAATGCTTGAAAGACTGCAACGACATCTGTAGGTTTCGAGCAAATTACTATTCGTCAGCTATCAATTAATTACACTATGATGAAATATCAACGAAAAAACCAATTATGATGAGGTTTTCTTAGTAAAAAATTCTCTTTCTCTCTTTTCAGCTGTTAAAGTTTAATGGGCTCGCAACGGTTCGTTTTCCACTCGTTTTATTTACTCTTTTTATTTGGGAGAAGAGAACTCGTGCAGAGAAGAGGCGCATTGCAAACACACGAAACGAAACATGGGTTGTTCCCTCGAAAGCCCATTCGACTCTTCACTTCTCTCTCTCTCTCTGTTACTCTCTGTTGGTTCCAAGTAATGCGACAAAACGGACGGACGGACATAAATTTTCGCGAATGATTTGTAGGAACGAGACCGGTCGTAACTCTCACGTCCACGCATAAAATTAAAACAAATTTCAGGTTCGTTCAACGTTCCGCGAACACACACAAAAAAAAATGTATATATATATATATAAAGAGAAAAACGTAAAGGAATGAATATTGAAGAAGAAGTATAGAAAAAGAGAAGAGAAAAGAAACGTATAAATTAAAAAGAAATATTCTTAACTATAAAACTTGTTGATTTTCCACAATTTCATATTGGCTTAATTAATGCTAATTCAACAAAATTTCGATTTTCTTATTAGAAAACTCTGTTGGACTAATTTACTTAATGTACAGATTAAAAACGAGAGAAGATTAGAATTCAAATTCTCGCTAATCGTTTGCGTGAGTTTGCATCAGATTTCACAAAAATTATAAAGCCAATTATACGTAATATTGGATAATAGCAAAAAAAAAACACGTGTTACACTTGAAACGCGACGACGATAACGTTCGTATTCGTTGTCAATGATTAAGATTGTACCGTGCTTCAATTGTTGTACGAGGTCAGTTGATTTGCATGTGTTAAAAAGAGAGTTTCCCAACCTCCTTGAATGCAACAGAGTTTCTCAAACTAATTGCCAATTACGTTGCAAGTAAGAAGAAGGTACACAACGCAACGTCTCATGGCATGCTCGAATAAACTGAAATGTCTTTTGTTTTCCACCCGCAATGGGCGAAGACGACGACCTGACATCAAAAGAGCGTGGGCAGACGATGCATAAGACACGTGGGACGAACCCCTATTCTTCCAATTATGCAACGAGAGAACCCTTATCTACTTCAACATCTCTCGTTTTACTTCAAAGGCTTTCCCCACATTTCTACAAAATTCATCATCATGGAAATGTTTTTCACGAGAACTGCATCCATATATTCATGCTCGCTCGCAGCTGCAGTTCCGAGGATCGAGCCGATATTAATAAATATTGGTAAACAAATAACTTTCTCTCTCTCTCTGTCTTTCCCTCGTCGAGCTCTAGGATTCAGGTCCTTTTTCGGAAGACCACTTAGAAATGTAAGAAACGAATCGAGTTTCCATTGAATTTTGCGCAACGGAACACCTGCTCGCAGAGGGAAAAGGCCTTCAATAAGATAGAGGAGAGCAGAAGCAGTTTCCTTTCCTATTATCACTATTATCTCCTTAAATTTGGTTCGCTACCTGCGATTCGTCACACCAGGTGTGTTTCTTCTCTTCCCTTTTCCATCATCACCATCATCAACTTCAACAACAAGAATAATAATAATAGAGACTACGATTCGATCGTTTTCTATTACTTTTCACTGTCTATTATTCCTTTGTTTCATTTCTAATTTTTTTTTTGTTTGTTTTTCGTTTCTAACTTTTCGTTTTGTTTCGGTGCGCGCTTCGACGAATGCCTCCTCCTGCTTCTCGCGCTTTGCATGTCGTCGGGATTTTGACGCGAGTCGCAAGGCACAAATTAGACGCGTTCCGAGAATCGGCGTATCGAATTAACGTAAGTACGTTAAATACTGTCTTTAGCGACGATAACAATAATCATGCACCTGCACGATGTCCACGTTCGAGCCAGTTCAGGATTTAGAAAATTGCTGTGCGCTAATCAACACTTTAACAAGACTTTACACGTTATCAGTGGAGAAATTTCAATACGAAAGCTAATTGTAAAATAACAAAAAAAAAACCCTTATTCATCAAATTTCTTTCCGTTTTCAAGTCATACACACACGACTTACAATATGACTCTACCGATAAATCGATTTCCGGGTAGGAGGAACGAGCTAAATGGAAATACAGCTCACCGTCTGTTCACATGAAAACCCACATCTAGAGTGCGAATGCAAAAAAAAAGAGACACTATTACTATTATTGAGTCACCGACGTGTGCAAGGACTAAATTTAGATGGAAAACGACAAAACGAACATGACAACATTTAAAAGCAAAGAGCATTTCTTCCCCCCGCAGCTCCATAAATTTTGCAATGTTTATTTTGATTGCCGCTGAGAAACGTGTTTTGTAAACAATTTTGCGGAAACATTTGCGGAATCCGCAGAGAAAGAAGTAAATTAAAAACGAATACAAATATCCATTAATTTAAATTGCAAACCAAAAAAAAAACGAAATCGACTCCATTGCGGAAAGTCACGGTTAAATAGCCGCACGTTCGAGTTATGCAAATCATAATTTAACGTAATACATTTTTGTTTTTGTTTTGCCGATTCGTTGATGATGATGATGATGATATTGTAAAAGTGATGTATGCACGGCAATTATATACATGAATAATCGTGTAATTTACAGTTGAATCAATTTTGTGACGCAGATTAAAAGAAATTTTGTCAATAACTAATATCTCATAGTTTTAGTCAAATAATAATGAAAATTAGACAAGAAATAGTGTTTTTTTTTTCGAAATTCGATTTACGACCATTTCGAGGAACGTAACCCTAACATAAATCTGTAATACTCGTAGACAACAAAGAAATCTACACCGAGAAAATGTTACTAAGTCATAGCATTCCACGTAAACTAGAGGCTGACTGTGGTTTTGAATGTCATCTTCATCGAGTGTAAATTATGAATTCAACATATTTTCATAGACGGGCGATACGTGGAATGTTAGATTTTTACGTGACAAATTAGATTTGACGCAATGTATTTTGCCGAATGGACGATGATGATGATGATATCTAGAAAGAGAGAGAGAGAGACAGAGATAGAAATAGAGTGGAGTATGCACGGATTATATAAACGATTCGTATGAATTATTCAGTCGGCCGAAATTGTGTCGCTTTCCGAGAAAACACAATGGTGTAAATCCGGCGGCGGTGGCGTCGCGACGTCTATTTATAGCGAACCGAAAACGGGCGGACGTCGAGGAGGGAGAGAAAAGGGAAGTTGTAAAGTGCGTCGCTGGGGGGTCGCTTAATAATCATTGGGGCGTCGCGACGCTCTCCGCTCTCTCATTCCGAGCGTCCTCCCGCTCGACCGAAGAATTAATAATTTATTTATAAACTTGTCGCGTTTTATGCAAATAACTGCATTTCCAACTCTGATAATGGCTAATTTCGAATTTGATTTGTCGACGGCGTCAAAGACGGCATTAAGACATAACACTGAAAAGTTATCTAATGGCTATGTTTGTTGTCGAAGAGTGTAAAAGAAAGGTGGATTTATGACTTAATAATTGATTCTTGGAGTTCAAGAAACTTTTTCATAATGTCTCAGATATTCGCCGATCATTGAACATCGAAGTTGCCTTTGCGTCGCCTTTTACATTTTATTTTTTTAATGCGAAAAAGGTTGGACGGTAGGCAGGTAATGAATGTAATTCATGAAATTGCGTGGTTACATTGTAAATTACGAGGTGGCGGTAATGAGATGGGATTATTGTCATTATTGGTGGGGCCGATGGGCTTAAATCCGACCCACGTAAACGCTCGTACTCTCCTCTTCGTACGAGAGAGCTCATGTATACAAACACACACTTATACGTCTGATGCATGTGTGTTGTGTTGTGTGTGTGTGCTTGCGCTTATTTATACAAGCCCAAGTACACATACATATGAAGATGAAACGTACCTTCTTCGAAACGAAGATTCCCTGAAAAGTCCGTCGGTCCGCGTCGTCCGTCCGTGAGCGAGCGATGTTCGCTCTTAGCGCGAACCGAAAACACGTTTCCTACGTTTCCAGGAAAGGCGCCGCCGATACCTTCTTATTCTTCTTCGTCTACTTCTTCTCTTTCTTCTTCCAACTCCTCCTCCTCCTCCACCAATACCATCAACAACAACAACTACGATAGTTCTCTTCACTCCTGTTCTTCTTCGCAACCCTCCTGAACTGTCACGGAGCAGCGTCACATCGCTCAACCTGTCAACCCGAAGAAAACCATCACCGGATACTTCATGTCACAGAAAGAGTCCTTTCACCGAAATCCTGGAAACAAATTACAACCAATGTCATTAATTAACAATGCAAATCAACAAGTTTCTATGGCAACCAACTTTAAATCATTGAAACCACAGCGCAACAACCTAATCAAATTTATGTCAACAAACGACAATCAACATATTTCTATGACAACCAAATGAAGAGTACAATTACGTAATACATAATTTTTCGGTAACTCATAGCAGCAACTTATTTAGTTAAGAACAAATAGATCAATCACTATAGTGAACAACAAAATAAACACAAACAGTTCATGTAAATCGTCCTGATTACATATACTTCTGAAATTCTACGAACGATAAATTAAATACTAATTATGCATTGCCAGTTTTTTTTTTTCGTGTTGCCGTTTCGTTAATTAGAATCCATTTGAAACGCATAAACAGAGTATTTAAATGGCGATGTATTATTTCTCATAAATGATAGTTTGAACTCGCAATTTCCAATCGAATGTTGACATAATTTACTAAATGCAATTCCAACTAAAAAATAATTATACTAAATTAGTCACAATTCTCCAAAAAAAGCGATAAACAATTAAAAGTAAACATCGATTCCTTGCATTTGAAGATTATTCACTTCTCGAATCACTGAAATTACTTAGCTTTCAGTAAACTACAAGTAAAGTTTCTAAAGCGATTGCATAATGAGCGAAGAGTGAGAGATTTAAAAGTTACAATTCTACGAATTGTAGGTCATAAACTACGAGTGTATTAACATAATAAGTAGTTAGGCTTAAAAGTTGCAATAAACTTGGAAAATTCTACGAAACGGAAATTAATAAATCAAAGTAGCGCACACTGATTTAACACTAAATTACATACAATTGTTTAATAAATAATTCTAATCAATTGTTTTTGATAATTTTGTGGAAATTTAATTAATTCTAATTTAATTAATTGAATCACGATTCTCGCAAAACTAATTGCTGAATACATCGAATTTAATAACGTTGCGCCCACGTAAAACGCAGCGCATTGGCATCAACGCAAACGCTTTATTAATTTTTCTTTCTGAAGGATATTTTGTGAATTATAAATCGATCAATTGAAGTTCTATCGACAGTTTAAAGAAAGAAGTGATTTGAAATCTATTAATAAAGCAAGTAATGTAATTTGTAATATTTTTGAGAATTCCATTATGAATCGATTAAAACAAACAATATTGCGTCAATAGATCGAAATTTCTATAGTAGATTTCGGAGCGATAAATCTAGAGATTATCTATTGTTTTATTTTTAATTAATATACATTAATAAGTAGGCGAAATAATAAAGAAAATAAAACCGACGCTCGTGTTTAATAATGATCGGCTACCGAGAATCGAAATAATGAGAGATAAAGAGAGAGAGAGAAAAAAAGAGAGCGTTATCTAATTTCGCCCCAGATTCATGGTGTTTTGAGGTAGATCGCGGCAACGCTGCCGCAACGCGCTGTGGGAATTGACGTTTGCGTATCGTCGCGTGTGTTTGCGGCGGTTCTAATAGGACGATGCGTGAGTGCGAGAGAGGTGCACGGAAAGGAAGGACGGAGAGAGGGGGCCCCAGCCGTGTGTGCGCGCCTAGTGGGACGATAGGCTTGCTCGCCGGAGTCGGATCCGTCGTCGTCTCATTCGTGTTGCAGACGTTTCGTGAGTCGGATAAGATTCCCGACAACCCAAACAACACCTAAACCGTGCATCTCTCTTTCGCCCATCCAATCAGATACACGAAAACAGAGAGAGAGTGAGAGGGGCAGTGCAACGATCTAACCTCAAATAAAAAAAAGAAGAAGAAAAGTAATAGAGAGGAACGGACGAATTGCGAAGAAACGTACGCACGAGCGACGGGGGCACATATAGAATATCTATCCCCTCCCCCCCACACTCACCTCTCGCGCCTTCCCCACGGTCGCGTCTTTATTTTCGGGCGTCCGGATTAGAAATGTGCTATTACAAAGTGAAACATCGGACAAGCGGTTCGCGTGTGTGAGAGGACGAAAAGAGGACTCGTACTTACCAACAATCCAATACTGCAACAGCAGCAGCAGCAACAACAAATCACCCTCTCCAACCTAAAACAAAACAATAAAGGGTTACAAGTTAGCAGCAAGTGAATAAAAAAAAAGTATAAATACATTTTCTTTTCCCGGAGGAGAGAAAGTTACTACTACTACTATTATTACTACAACTACCACCACCACCACAACCATATATTATTATTACCACCACTACAACTACAACAATTACCAACGAATCTGTCAGTTGTGTGCGTGTGCTCTCTCTCTATCTGTGTGCATTTTACCACATCCAACAACAACAACATCACATTGGGATTTTGTTTTACCTTGTTTTATCAAAAATCACACCCTCTGGATACGATGCTCGCACCTGCAAGATTCGCGTGAACAAGAAGGACGGATCAATCTTACACGAGGTTAGTACTTTCATTCATTCACTTCTCTTTCCGGCGTCCGTCCCGGTCTTTTTTTTTTGTGTGTTGTGTGTGTGTCTCTTACGCGAACGTTCGCCGACGACTGCTTCGCTCGTCGCACCGCACGTCGTCGAACGGCGCCACAGTTCAACAGAAAATTCAAAAAAAAAATAACAATTTAAACTTTAAACAATTCAAAAAATTGATGAATTTTTGTTATAAATCATTTTCTTAAATAGGAATATGTGTATTTACATAACCAAATACGAATTACAATTTTTTCGATTAAATAAACAAACAAAAAACAAATGACTTTTAGAGTGAAACCTGTCAATTTCTGACAAGTGACAAGTTAATGTTATTGACAATTTATTTTACCTAAAACTGCATGAATTTGTGACGTTTGATGAAATGTCAATTCGTTCGCTTTACTACGATTGCCACCGCATTACTGCGGTTTTGACAGGAAATAGTGGAATAATCGATTGCAAGTAAACAATCACGAATGTTTCCGGAGTTTTTCTTTCTCTTTTTGTTGCTTTTACGTAACCAGTTCGCGATTTGCGTGCTTCGCGTTGAGGTGAATGCCGTACGTTTCGGTTCTTATATATTTAGATTCGTGTTGTTCGTGATGCCGCTTTTAGAATAATACCGGGAATCAGTGCTGATTTGACACTGACAGATCGAATTTGCATTTCACTACGGGGTGACCTTTCCCAAACAGGATACACGCCGAGAGAACCGATCACTGTTTAGAATTACCATGAAAATTGCCTAACAAACAAAAAAAAAACGATTTTCTTATTAAAGTAAAAAACGACCGTTTGTCGTTTATTTCATAGTTTTCGGAGAATTTTAATTTTATAAAGTTGTTATCATTGTACTCTTTTTTTTTTTATCAATATTTGCATAGTTCGCACTTTTTATAATCGCATCACGTTTGAGATTTCGATGATGCATCACTCTGTATTCGGGAAATCGAAGTGTTTTATGTTTTGTTGCAGTTGTTTTGTTTGGAAACCGCGAGAGTTTTTCCAGTGAAAAAGAGACGGCGGCGGCGGCGCGCGGGAAAAACAAACAATTGCCGTGCGATTTCTGCGTTAATCGGAAATTCGAGACACGCGTTTTATTTACAGGGAAATTGTTTCTCCGTTTCTTAAAGAAAGAAAAAGAGATGAGAAGAGAAACAGACAATGAATTTTTTTTTCTTCAAGAAGAAGCAGAAAAGCAACGATGTTTTCGCGGAAAATGAAAACAAAAAAAATAATTATAAAGGAAGAACGAGTCATGAATATGAATCGAAAGCTTAATTAATTTTACAACGAATTCGATTTAGAAATCTCTTTCCGACAATTGCGTTTTCTAATTGTCTCGTCGTCACGGCCAATTCGATTGTTTAAACTTTTGTCATAATTGACGTGGAAACACACAATAGGCGAATATTCGTAGAAGAGATTTTTCTAGTAAGCTTAGATTGTTTTGTGAATCTTCCTATTTTCCTAGAAGAAAAAAAAACACACAAACAGCCGTTTCCGAAAATGTGTGAATTCCTTAAAGATTTTAGTGTTTCTCAAAAAAAAGAGATACAAAATGCATTCGTCAATTTCAGACGTCAAAAAATACTCGGTATTCGAACAATTTATCAAACGTGTTACCAGATTTCCTGGAAGGTTATTTGTTGTTTTTTTTAAAGTTATTTACGTTTTTTTTCTCTCTAAGATTAGTGATTCCTGGTAGTAAACGTGGATACGAATACCAATAATACGTTTGGTATTATGAAATTGATATGATTACACGTTTAGTTTTCATTTTTCTTATTGGGTTTGTTTCGTAAATCGGTTGATTTCTGGGAAGGAGAAAATGCGGTGAAACACACACACACACACACACTCGATGTTCATCGGAGCTTGAATAATTAATACAAAAATAATAATAGAAAGAAAAGAAAAAACGAAATAAACGAATACAATTAATAGAAAAATAACATCGAATGCGGCGCAAACGAGTGAGTTTCCGAGAAAGCGATTATCGAAAGAAGTTGATAACTCGCGACTACATAAGAAACAGTCACAACATGCTGAACAGAAAACAAAAAAAGAAGCAAAGCGAGCTCAATTACCGCAACACAAAGATTCTTCCTGCATATCGCGTCGCGTCTAACGGATTTACGAACGATTCTCGGAACGAATCAATTTTGGAATTGAAGAACGAAGATTGGGCGGACGAATATTATCGTGTTAGAGGAAGAAACGTAAGAGAAGAGATCCATTGTCCGTGAACTTCGGAAGACCTTCACCGAGGGGGTGGGGGGGACGCGCGTCTTCCGAGAAGCGTAACGTAAGATTATTATGTCATTCGGTCGTCGGTTCTTGGAAAGCGGGCAAAACATGTAAAAAAAAATGTGGTATTAATAAATATCGAGTAGTTTAGATAATGAGTCAGTTGGTGGAGGAGTTTATCGGTAGATTAGTCGAAATCGTGGATGATTCCCAAAACAAACGAACGAGAGAAAAAGAAAAAATCTAATAACGCAATTCAATTGTTTGACGTCAAATTATCCGCGCCTGCTTCGATGTGTACACGCATTTGAATGTGTGTAGCTGCAGCAGCCGTAATGATGCGATGGTAATGAGAGGCGAACGAAAGAAGCGGATTTAATTGTTGAAATTTCTCGGAAGCCATGGAGATGGTAACTGCGCGACAGAGATGAGAAGCGAAGTGGCGAGAGAAAGACGACGACGACGACGAAGATGGTGGTGGTGGTGACCTTCCTAAATAGCGTTCAAATTGTTTTAACCGGCTACATCTAACCATTCCGAGAACGTAAACATAAACACGTGATATTTAGCGACGAATCTCCTTGCTCTCCTCCGCCGTTCTCGGTATTATTTTCAAAATAACACCGAATATATAAATAACGTTTGCGAAAAAGAAAAGGAAAAACAAAAAAAAAAACGAGCGGACAAAGAAAGACGTAACAATGGCGACGACGACGTCGGTGGTACAACCGTAGCCTACTTCTTTCGATATTTCGAAGAACGTTACTCGTTCGTTTCGGTTGACATCGATAAAAAGGACAACAACTTTAATTGAACTGAATGAATTTCGTGTGAATGATTGCTGTTTGAATGTCTACAGTTAAGCAACGCGTGACATGGATAGTATTTGAATCGGTGATTGGAATACGGTATTTCGTGTTAAAAAAAAAGGCAGAGGCATATGGCGGGCGGAGTTCTGGTCCATTCGTTTCGTGGTTACAATCTAAATTTCCAACGGCCCGTCATTATTTATCCGTGATAAAGCTATTATGTAACACCATATGGCGCATGTTATTTTTACGTTCGGAGCATTAATTTACGTCTGGAAGCGAATTTTGCGTAATTCTTGAAGACTTTTAGTTGATTAGCTTTATAAAATTTGGCCTCGTCTTGTAAAAAAACATGGAGAGAAAAGTTTTCGTTTTCGATCTAATTGGAAAATAATGTATGTAATAATCGTAGCCGATTCTCGGAAACGTTAATTACCCATTCCGTGTTTTGTTTTACTTATTATTATTATTTTTTTTTTGTATACATATGTTTTGTTTGTTTGCATTAGTTATTGTGATTTTCCTGGAAAATCGAAATTTAATATACAAAAAAATAATAATAATAAACGGAAAGTATTAATAACTCGAGAATTACTTGACTTTTTAGAACGTTTAATACATCAACAGTTGAGTCCTTCAATGTGCAAAATTATGAATATTCATATGTTTCTCTTTTGTTATTCTACATTGGTGACTCGATGATGGATCAATTCGTTTGTTTTGTTCTTAATCCCTAGTGGGTGGAAAGAATAAAAAAAAGGGGACTGGACGAAAAGAAAACGAGGGTTTAGACTCATTTATCGTGTGGTGCACGCACCTTCCTTTATCCTCCTCGCAGACCAAAACACACGCACTCCACTTTATTCCCCGTTTCCGTTTAATTGCCACGCCATATGGACCCCTGGCGATGAACCAGTGGGAGTAGGAGGAGGAGGAGGAAACGGAAGAAGGAACAGATGGCGTTTCTTTAATCCCCATCGCTCTTTCCAAATATAACAACGACAACGATTATAATAACATGAAAATGAGGTCACTTCGTGCAGCGACGCTCTTCCAACAGATTACGTATCTCTAAACAACAGTTAATAACGCTTTTAATCACGATCATCCAACCTCCACTGTCAGAGCGCAAATTTAAATTGTCATTTTTTTATTGGCGTTTCCATGGTAACGTTCAAATTTGACGTACTCGTGTCAAGTTTGACGCACTCGTGTCAGATTTACGCGTCGTTACGCAACGATTGGCGTCGGTCGTACAGACGACGGCGTATTTTTACTCGAGAGCGCCAGCCGTGTGTACTTTATTTATACGCAACGCGCGTCGCGGCGCCAAAACAAAACGTCCCGTTCAAAACAAACCACTTGCGTGCGAAAGAATTTCGATATTAATAGACGTCTCCATCTTCTACCTCCCAACATCATCATCATCCTCATTCCAGAAAAAAAAACAAACGACAACAGGATTCGAAAGTTTAACGAGAGCGCGAAAGTTTGTTTTACTGCGAATTTCATATATTTATATTTTTTAATTTCTCATTTAGTCTCGCGGGACTTTCGTTTAAATCTCGATCCGCGCAAACTCCGGGACAGAAATAAATAAATAATAAACTGTGTGTGTGTGTGTGTACTGCTCAAATAAAGCGAAACGGCGCGTCTCGCGATTTACGTTTTCTCTCTGCGTCGGATTCCGAGAAGGACGGATAATAATTATTCCCGTGCGGCGAAATCTCGATTTAATCATTCCCACGGATTTCGTTTTGTTTTCGCGATCTTTTCTTTTTGTATTTGTTTTGTTTTTATTTTCGTTTCGTTTCCCTCCTCCACCTCCGTCATCGTTTATATTTACGCCAGAACTCAAATAATATTTTCACATCGCCTTTTATGTAATTTCTATAATATAGTAAAGTTTTCTTAA